CCCAGACAACACTCCACCTGGTATTTATCTGGTACTTTTTTTAATAACGACCACAAGACTCTGGGCAAAGGGGAGCTTATCAGTATGTCCGACATGGTCATCATTATGGCCAAAAGCCTGCTAAAATCACCCTCCCTCTTTGGGTCTTGTACTAGGCCTGGAGCAGAAAAGGGCTGGATTTGGTTGGTGTTGCTGCCGCCGCCGCCGCCACCGCCTCCTCCTCCTCCAGTAAAGGAATCACCAATGAAGAAATGCTGGTAGAGGTTTGTGTCTCCTGGGATGCTCTGCCTCAATGTTGCCCTGCTCTTTGGGTGCTGGCTTCCAGCTGCTTTCCATGCTGTACATACAAATATGCCTTTGATCATCCACATTTTGTGAATCTTTTTTTCTAAATACAGATCAGAGATGCTAGCTTACATCCTCATGTCTAGCACTAGGCATAGAAACTCAAGTTCCCAGGTGTGAACGTATTTCCCAGGCATGGAAGGATCCACTCCGCATCTCTTGCACCACCTTCCAAATGAAAGCCATGAGATTTTCCATTTTGTTTTTAATAAGTAAACTGCAAAACATAGAAAAACATAAAGAATTCAAATTTTTTTTCTCTCTCTGAACATTTGTTGCATATGTCCATCACTTTAAAACATGCAGAAAGCTATCACTGCACATAAAGTGACACTAAACTCAGACGTTAAACCTTAAAAATGCATTCAAGTACCTTAACTGACGTAAATGTAAGATACTTTTGCATTCTTCTTTGCGTCTCCTACAAGACGGCTACCAAAGCAGCTTGAGACAGTTGAACGAGAACTGTGGGGGCAACCTTTTTTGCCCATAGTTCTCTTTAGGGTCACGGAAGGACATATACGGTGTCCTCCGGTGACCCAAAACTCAGCATATAGTGGGCTAGAGCCAGAGCCAACTGTGCCCACCCTCTCCCCCATCCGTTCCTCCAGTCAGTGCTAGAGGATTGGAGAGGGGGGAATCCCTACGTGGAGCGGTGACTGATAGTCACTGCTCTCTGCAGGGAGGCGATCAGGAAGTCAGCGATCGGTGGTATAGGTTTGAAGCTGTCACAGGTCGGCTCTATTGATCGGGAAGTCAGCAGTGTCATGGGTCGGCATGAATTATGAGGATGAGTGTTTTTCACTTAACTCATAATTCTCCTTTAAAAGAATTATAGAGAAGTGAATCTAAAAACGTGCTGCTCTACTGTTTTGTAGTTTTGCCTAATAAAAACCAGAAAAAAAATGATAATTGCACTTATTTCTGTATGTGCCTTTCTGTGAAAACGTATCACTTATTTAAAGGGCTAGCCATATTTGCATAGTTTACATCTTTGAAATATTGACTTAGCAACAGTATCTAAAAATACATCTTTTCAGTATATATTGCAGTCTCATTTTAGAAGAATACCTAAAAAATGGGTCCACCAGACAAAATCGAAAATTACCTTGGTTGTCTTTCTGTGTAGGAGAGTATGTCTCTGAATTCTAGCACACTTGTCTTGCAATCCCCTTCCATGACCGCTCCTGCTTGCTCCGGCTCTTGTACAGAATCCTTGTATATTCTCTTGTATAGAATCCACTGGATCATATAGGTTGCTGTGGGGCCTCACCATGCGGATAACAGCCTCCACATCATGAAAGGAAAATACAGAATCCTCCATTTTACTTGCTAGGTCTGAGCTTGATAGGGGAAGGAAACCAGTTGGTAAGCGCAAAACAGCACACAAAAAAAAAAAAAAACTTGAGTCATGTGTTTTCAGGAGCTCAAATTCAATTAAATGGGGCGAAAAACGCACGATTCTGCTCCATAAATTTACTTTTTCACATGACAGGTGTCAAGCTACAAGTGACAGAAAGCTCAGATGTGAAGAAGCAGAATTGAAAACAATGGAACTCTTTAAGTTGATCGCTGTTGCGCATAGGGAAATGAGCAACAGACAGGTGTTTCATGGGGGCTGAATACCCAAACTTCCTCTTTGTTGTGATCTTTGAGAAGAAATTCCTTTGCAGAAAGTGAATCTAGAGAGGTAAAACCAGGGCTTAACAACATGTAAAAAAAACTGGGCTGGGCACAGGTGCTCTTTACGTACGGAACACATACACAATGGAGGCAGCCATCAACATTCTACATCACATCTGCGATTTGATCAAGTACACCGGTTTCTAGTCAAATACAAAATTATTTTACTCATGTATAAAACAGCACAGCACTCACAATCTTTCAGGCCATCTTTCATCAGGTAAGATCACTGAACCTACTGATGCACAACAAATCAAGAGACATCACTGTTACATTACAGAGGGACAATTATCAAAATGTCTGTCTTATTGTTTGCGTTTTCTAATCTGTAGCCGCTTAGATTTTGTAACTTAGGGACAGATTTATTCATTTGTAAGCAAACTGCCTAATAAAAATAGCCACTATGAAAATTAACATGTCTGTATCTATTTAAAAGTGCTCCCTAAAACTAAGTTCTGCAATGGATGAAAGGTTGATGCTGTGCTCGAACTTGTGACTCACTGTGAAAATAGGCATACAATTAAAGCAGTATTAAAATCTGGACTTTTTTGACCTTAATGCATTATTTACATTAGGGTAAAAACAGCTCAG